CAACCACTTCTCTGACACCAAATCTCTAACAACGACAGTATGGAGTGTTTAATTTTTACATGTCTTGGAGTATTTTATAGCTGATTTAAACTCTAGATCTAATAATTATGTTAATTACCAAGCTAGGAGGTCCGTCACTATCACTCAAAAAAGTCCAACGATCGTTTTAAGAACTTTGTTACAGTCAAGTACTTGCCAGTTTCATCATACTCGTTTTTTTATAATAAACATTATTTTAATTTTAGTATTATTATCATAGTTATGTACACGCTGTTTTTACTTGTTTGTAGTTTAATGCATTTTGTACAGTTTTTCCCCTTTTTTCTCCTATACTTCTTGTTAATATAAAATATAAACCTTTAATTCAGCATTCTCTGCAAGAGGTTTGAATAAACGTTATTAGTATTAGTATTAGTATTGTAGCCTGATAGTTTCTCTCTTCCTTTTGGTAGTAGCTGTAGTTTGGGAGCGTTTGTGATTGAAACGCCCCCTGTAATGAAATAAAAATTCTCCTTGGAATTGTGTGATCCCTTTGAGGAGAGAGACTTTGCAATTTTTTTGTTTGGTGAGTTGTTGGGCTTCCTTTTTACTTTCCTCAACAGTTTTCAATCGTTCTGTCAGATCGTCTCCAAAGGGCTCTGAACCAGCATGTTCTTTACTGCTGCAATTCAAGACTTTTTATTGACTCAGCCATTATGGTATATTAGCCAATATGCCATAATCTAATATCTGTACGTTGTAACATCCGGTTTCTTCATACAAAATAAAGTCGAGAGGATTTGTCTAATATCTTGGATGCGTCTTTTTTTAATAAAACGATTATTTCACTCGCGCTTGTTGGATATGAGATGATTATAGCCAACGAGGCGCGTAGCGCCTCGTTGGCTATCTATCATCTCCTATGCAACGCGCGCTCGTGGAATAATTGTTAAATAGTTGACATCCAAATCAACTTTAATTTAAACGATTGACGGCGACACATGTTTAAGTCGTGATTAGTAGATGGTATAGATTTCCTTAAGCTTTCCCAGATCTCCTTTGGGTTGGGCATCGAAGATTGTTTCTCTACCGTCTCTTCTACCTTACCTGTCAGGTAGGCAAGTGGTATCAATCCTTGAATCTAGGATTCTTGAGTTTTCCGTGTATCCTAGCATTCCTGGTGCAGGTTTTCAGTGTTGACCTTCGTTACCCTTAGTATCGTTCAACTGTCGGATTGTTCTACATCTTCCTTGCGTTTTGCCAACACTCGCTCATTGAGCCCTGAGGCAAAAATATTATTGAGGACTTTGGCAGTTTTTTTCGTCTAGAGCTTTATCAGTTTGCTCATGTTCAGTGACTTCCTGTGCCACGACGT